GCGCGCCCCGCGAGGCTGGCGCGCGGCCCCGCCACCGTCACGTGGCCCGCAGCGCGCGCCCATCCTTCGCGCCCCGGGTGCAGTGACCCCTGGCCCTGGCGGGCTCCGCGTGCTCCCATCAGCCCAGAGGCTCCGCAGGGCGGTCTGAGAGGCGATCCTCGCGCTCCCCTCGACGGCGAGGCGGTCACTCTGGTGACAGGTGGCTTACCCAGTGCCGCTTCGCCGATACAGAACCAGGGGCCGCGGTCACTCTGGGTTAGGGCTGCAGCTTGAGGGCTGAGCGTGGAACCCTTAACAGAATCCTCACTGGTCCTTCGTACCATAGTTTGGCCTCCCAGAGCCAGGACCAGCCCGATGATGAGTATCTCCATCCCTTTTTCAAGGCCGCAGGGGAGAGCTGCCCTTTACAGATCAGGGCGGCTGGTGACTTGGAGTCTCTCCGCACAACGGAGCTGGTGAACCCAGGGGCCCACACTGCAGCCTGGTGGCTTTCTGATGTCCCAGGCCTGCAGAGACCTTGGCTAGAGACCTCACAGGTCTGCTGCTTTCTTGTCCAATGACCCCAGAACCGATAACCCTAGTCCACCTTTGCAGGGAAGCTGGGGGAGGACACTGAGAAGTTGGCTGGGTTTCATTAAAATACCCTCTGAGGCTTTTCAAAATAACAGCAAAATTGGGCCAGCCAATGGCGGAGGTTAAGGCATCTGGATTTCACATGGAAGACAGCGTGGTTTCTGTCTGGACCTGGGGCTTGAGAAGCACGCTGGGCACATGTGTGTGCTCCCAGGAGGGAGAGATGGAGAAGGGATTGCAGCCTGACCATCCAGAGGGGAGTGCTTTTTCACTCTCCCTCTGTTTCTCTGTGTCTCTCCACCTAGCGTATGTACAAATTACAAAACAGCATACCCCAAAAACAGTAAAGTGGTTAATTTTTTGACATTGTTGGATTTAGCAAAACTGGAATCAGGTTAAAATCACTGTCTTTGAATTCTGTACCTTAGGGCATCGCTGCAATATAGGTCTTTTCTGATATCCTTCTTTTTTTCTTTCTTTTGTAATTCGATATGGGGTGTATGTGTTTGCCAGAGAGAGAGGGAAAGTGAGAAAGCACCCTCCAAGAGGGTTGGGATGCCTGCAATCCTTTCTTCTCCATTCTCCTGCTGGGATTTGAGGTGTGCAAACACAAGCACCTGGCATGTGGGGTCCGGCCACCTTCACCACCATGCCACCGACTGGCCTTCATCTGATCTCTGAGCTGCATGAGCAGGCCTGTGTCTCTCTTGATCATTACTATAACCTCCCAGAGCCTGGCACTCAGATTTTTCTTTGATTCTTTTTTAAAAAAATGAATGACTCAAGTTTTACAGATGGGAAATCTGAGAGTTGGGTTAAGTAACTGAGGTAAGGTCACTATAATAATGACGGAGCTGAGACCGGAAATGATGTCTTCTGAAACATGCAGCTGTCTCCTTTTTTTGTGGTAGAGGTTTCTTTCCTTAGGGCTTGTGCGCTCATGGTGGGCAGGGTGTGTGTGTGGGGAGGTAAGTAGTGAGAGGGAAGGTGAGAAATCACCGCTCAGGTGGGATGGTCTCTCCTCCAGTCTCCTCCCAGGATCATGGGCACACACGTGCACATGCCTGGCATGAGTCTCAAGCCACGGGGTCTGGGACTTGAACCGTGGTCGGCCATGTGGGAGTCCAGCAATGTAGCCACTTCAAACTCTGCTGATCCCATCAGTTGTCTCCTAATCACAGACAAAACTGAAGAAGAGGTGGCCAGATGGTGGCACAGCAATGAAATGTGGGGCTCTTCAAGGCAGATGTACCAGAGAGGGCCCAGATTCACTGTGGGAGACCTCTGGGATTACTCCAGGCCCATGCCTGCCGCTGATCTGGGACTGGCTGAAGCCGAGGGTAGATCTTGGTGTCAAGACCATCAGGGATGCTGTACCTGTCTCTCATTCATAGCATAAATAAATAAAAAAAAAACCAAAACGAGTAATGAACTGAAGGAGCCCTCAGAGACCAACTCCTTCATTTCACAGTGAAGAGGTGAGCCTCACAGAAGCATGCAGCTCCTCAGCTTCAGTTAGTAATCACGTTGTTTTTTCTCCCTGAGAAGCTGGGAGTAGGTCCTCTTATGCATTAGAGATCAAGAGACAAAATGGAACAGTAATTATGACTCTGAAATTGCTCACAATTAGATCTGCAGCCAGGCATCCCAGCTCAGATTAATGAGACTGAGCTGCTGGTTCCCAGTAGCCCATAAGTAAGTGAAGGTTCAAGAGATGCTAATTAGATCTATGATTTTTCAGTTATTCATTTGATAAACTATCAAATGGCACTGTGCAAAGCTCTGAACTAGGCACTGTAGCAGGTGAAAGATTACTATGAGGCCAACTGGTGGGGTGGTTAAGGCAGCTGGATCCTGCATGGCTGACTGGTTCGAGTCCCTGACCCTGCAGATTGAAGCATACACTGGGGAGTGTGCATGTGTACCCAAAATTCCAAAAAGGGGTGGGGGAATGGAGGAGAAGAGGTTGCAGCGTGGCCATTCCCTATGGGAGGGGTGCTTTCATGCTTCCTCTCTCTTTGTCTCTCTTTCTCTCTCCAGTGACCACATTGTGCCCTCTAGCCAAAAATTAAAAAGACAGAAGAAAAAAAGAGAGAGAAAGAAAGGAAGAAAGAATAGTATGTAGTATGAATTCATGGCTAAGAGCAAGAATTTTCTGGAGCCAGATTGCCATAGAAACCCATTTTTGCCATTTATTCACTGAGTTTCCCTGGGCCGGTTACCTACTAGACTCTTTACCCATGGAGTTTCTAATCTTCCTCCCCCCCAAAAAAAAAGGTGCATGTTCTCTCCAGAGAGATGGAGAGCGAGGGAGAGGGAGAAAACACCCCTTATTGGTCACACCACAATCCATTTTTTATTTCTCCATCTTGGGATTTGGGGCACACCATACATCTGATGTGTTTTTCAAGCCAGTGGGGGTGG